AATGGAATTAATGAGCTTCTTTAAAACGAGATCATGTTTTGTCAATAGTGCTTCATTTTCAATGAACAAAATCTCCGGTCAATAAAAAACTTACGTTTTTTTACGGATTAGTATTGAGGTTTCATCCAAATAAACTGATTAAACTGATAGTTTTAGTTTGTTGCTGTGTTGCAATTTTTTTAAAAGATTTTCTGAAGCGCTGATGCTTGAGTTTGTAACCACTTTGAAAGTTGATTTGCTTTAAATTCACGGAACGGTATCGATAGCAACGCTAGATATGGGATGTTTTTTTTGAGCTGGCGAACTGCTCCCCTTACTGATCCAACGTCTTTCACACTTTTTGGTTTTTTCAAATTTCGTATTGTGTCCCAGGGTTGGACGCTCCCCCCCTCAGGAATTCGACCCCATGCCAACCCAAAGGGTCTCCCTTTGTACTTTTTTGATATATCCATTTTTGGCTGGCTGACCCTAAAATCTTTCTAAAGGCGCCAATTTATTTGGAGTTTTTGGTTTTTTTTGGGCCTTTTTTGGCCTTTTTTTGGCCTTTTTTTGGCCTTTTTTCAAAAAACTTGCCTGCGGCGCAGAAAATTTTGTCAAAATACGGTCTTTATATTGGTTTGGGAGAGCTCAGAATTTCAACTTGGTCTACCTAAAAAAAAGATCAAGAAAGTTTCAAGTTTTCTTTTGAAAATCCGCAACCCCCCCCCCCCCCCCGCCTCGAGAAAATCCTAGATCCGCGCCCCTGTTATTATGTATACCGAAAAAAACATCAACACGAGTTTCTTTCCTATTCGAAAGTCAGAGTAAAGTTAATTTAAGAAAAATTGTTTTAACTTGTGCGAAAATCCAACAAAAAAGACAACTTTTCATTGAATGAGCACCTACAAAATTGAATTGAGCAAGTGTAGATGGTAATTCAACCTGTTAACGCGCCGCTTAGAATTTTCCATTAATTACTATCTTTTATGGACCTAATTGATTAATCTATGGTTGACACTATTTGATCAGAAAAATGTTAACATTGATAAAAACTGAAGTTTGTGCTTAGTAAAGACTGTCGCCTCCCTTTTTGCAGAAAAGTTAAACAGATCCTAAGGGCGGATTAATAAGACGAGGTAACTGACTTATACAGGAGAAGTTTTGCTGTTATGAAATCCATGCTACACCTTTAAATAATTTATGTTCTATGGCGCACCAAAAATGCCAAATTTTTGACAGTCAAGTCACGAATAGCTTAAATAAAATTAGAAAAACCCAAACAAGCAGAAAAAAATTCGGATAAACAAATACACTGCTGGCTGTTCACTTTCTCCCTTTTTGTTCCTAATAAATTTGAGCTTTAGTTTAGGGTTTGAATGAGTTGAACTCAAATGAAATAAAATGCCAACTCATGTTTTTTTTTTCAATATCTCAATCGTCTCAATCCAATCCAAAATCAGAATAGTCAATCACCGGAAAAAAAATTGGGGAGTTTTATCTAATAATGACATTTCTTTAAAGCATTTCAGTGAAGTTGAACAAAATGTTAACTTTTGAACGAAACGCAAACTTTTGAACAAAATGCAAAAGTTGAACCAACGGTCATTTCTTGACTTCTGATCTTGCGAGCACCAATTCCAAACTTTTTAATTAAGTTTTTTTTGTCTCAATTATCTTTCAGCAAAGAAAGGATGATTTTTTTAAGTTTTCAGCATATTTACACGTCAACAATTCGTAAATTGGTATCCGCAAAAAGAGCGTAAGCCAATTAGCTTCTTTTTGCCAAACAATATGACTTTTTAAATTGCATTAAAACAACTCGTAAAGTACTGACGAAATTTTTTTTACAGTTCCAAACAATCTCAAAAAAAAACTTTTTTCCGTCAACCTTAACGAAATTTCACAAAGCAACAAGTGAAAATTCATATCAAAGCCTTCGCATTCAAAAAAAAATCAAAAATATCAAAATTTTATAAATAAGAAAAATTCAGTTTTGATCAAAAAATTAACTTCAACCGTCGGCTCGTTGATTCAATTTGAAAAAAGCAACCTTTTTTTAATTTTTTTTTCCTCGTTTTCTTTTATAGCAATAATTATTGTGCCAGGAATAGTCTTTGCTACTGTATAAGCGACAGGATACTCTTGTTGGTTTAATTTGATTTCGAATAAAAGTCTTTCAATTCAAAATTAATCTAAGCCTTTTGATCAAAAATATGTTCTGACAATAGAATTTTTTTGTAACTCACTTGAATATTAACTAATTGCATAAAATTTTCTTATAAAAGGAGGTAAACTTTTTAGTAAAATATCACAAGTCACAAGATTAATAATAAATTTGTTTTTGGCAAAAGTATTCGTTCGAAAATCACCTGGAATTATAAAAGACCCAAAATTTGATACTGGTTTGCTGTTTTCTGTTCGTAGGTTGATATGATTATCTTACTAAATTGATGATTCTCACAAAACTCTTCAATACAGTTTGTCATATAGAAGATCTTATAAGAAAGGCCATTGTGCTTGATTCAATTTTTTCAGACAAAATTTGACTTTCTGACTAGCCTCTTTAGAATGTAGTATTATAATATAATCTGGGAGCCCGCAGTAAAGTTCCATAGATAGCAATCAATTGTAATGGGTTCTGATGGTCTCGCTCACCAATATTCTAAAAAAAAACGATTGTAATGGTTAAAAATTCAATTATGAACCAAAGAAACGTAGAAATCAGTTTAAACCAATACAATCGATTTTAATGGATTATAATTAATTATACGTTTGTTTTTGTAGCAGAAGAACCTGTATTTGCAAAATAAATTTATATAGATTCACAATTTCTTAAACTGGGGGCTGGGGGTTAAACTGTGGGAACTGGGAGGGGGTGGGTGAACTGGGAGGGGTGAAAATAATGGGGGTGTAAGCCGGCGTGGGGGGAGGGGTGTTAACTGGGGAAGGATAAAAACTAAGGGAAATGATAAAAATAAGGGGGAATAAGCGTGGGGAAAAATAAAGTTGGGGAAGGGCAATAAACGTGAACGGAGATAATGAGTGATTAGGGGGGAACAAACGGGCGTTATAAATTTGAGTAGGATTAGAATTTGAGAAGGCAGTAAGTACGACAAAAAATGTTGCAAATTACTACATTGCAAAAAAACTTGTAAAAATTTTATTCCATTAATCGATTTCAATTTTTTGAAAAAATGGGTTATAATGGATTATAATCGTTTGCGTGGTCCCAAAATGTAATTACAATCAATTATATTGGCGAGTTTTTTAATCTCGGTTATAATCGACTAACATCCATCGATCCTCTTTGCGGGAGGTATCGACTTCCTGAGCTGAATTGAACCAAATACATCCGCTTATTTTTGACAAAACTCTCAGTTTTAAAAATTGTCGGTTTGCTTTTTAAGCGTTATGGCAAAAGTATAAAAGAAATTTAATCTGGCTGAGAAATTTTTCCAAGTTGAATAGAAGCAAGCTGATTTGTTTTATACATTCGCTACTAGAATCAGTGCAACAAAAAACGATATAATGATAATCTATGCAATACATAGAATGCAATTCAAAATTTTTCAAATTGTACTTAACACAGAACAAAAAAATATTCCAAATAAATCAATTAATTTGATTCGTTTGAAGAAATTTTTTTAAATATCTTTATTGGGCTGTCGAATTTTTTGAAACTTTGCCTTGATATGAGCAGTACTTATAATTTTTGATGAAAAAAACTTTTACCTTTTAAGCAATGTCTAGGAAAAATTGAAATTTTTCTCATCTAATAACAAAACTGTTCACTTTGAAATCTTCATTTGGCACCCATGCTTCTTTGGCTAATTTGGCTATGTTCAGACACCTATGATTTTACAAAACTGATAAAAGGTGAAAAACATTTTGGGTTCAAGACAATAACATCCTTCAGATCAGAAAAAAATTTTCGGTCAAAACTGCCCTTTAAAGATCAACGAGACTGCTCGCTCGTTTATTAGGGCAAAGCCCTAAATGTTCCGACAATGCCACGTAATCTCTATCGAATAGTTTTTGGGAAAAAAAATACTGAAAATCTATAAATTTTGGTCAGTATCAAAAATCAACTGTAAAAATTTGAGTCGTACGAACTGGTGGCATAGGTTTTCTCATGCGCGAAGGACCGTTTGCGCGAAAAAAACTCGTGAGCGAAAGACCGAAAACGAAATTAGCCGAAAGTCATTTAAAAAAAAAAACTAATTGCCATTCAATTAAAATGAATTAAATGAAGCACTGTTATGCTTCTTTCATAACGAAACCCTTGAAAATAAAATTTGTCCCAGTGTGGCTGCTGTCAGTGAAAATTTGAAAACTTAGCATATTTCTGCCGTTTTTATAATCGGCTAATATCAATATTCAGTCCCTGAAAGTGTTTACTGTCATTCCAAATTTTAGATAACTGAAATCTGATTGGCTGATTTATATTTTCGTGCATTCGGTTCTTCGCGTATGAAGGATTCCACCGTACGAAATTAATACGATCGATTAGCTATAGCCTCAATTCAATTTGGAAAGATTTTGTTGTGCGGGATAATTCGCGTTACGCTTTCAACATTATGAAAAAAATGTTCGAATCGCGCATAAATTAGTCCAGAGTATGGCCAAATTGGCAATTTTTGAACTTAACGAAAATTGATTGGAGGTAAAATATCTTTTCAGAATTGATTTTAAGGAGTCGATATCTTCAACGGGTTAAATTTTTTTTTTATAAAAACTGTTATTTCGATCGGCGAAAATTGATTGAAAAAAAAACCACACCGAGCATAAATAATCCGTTTTCTTCAAAAGCCGGAACAAAATGATCTGATCTTTAATCTGACGGTTTCTATGAAAGTTATATAAACACTGTTTCATCGAAAACCGAAACCTGAAACCCTTTCTGAAAATGCGAAGTAGAGCAACTGAGAAATAGGCGGTAGTGTAATTTCATTGGCCGGCTGGGGATGGGCAAAGAAAACAAAAAAAGGCTTTTTGCTCATACCCAAAGCCCAACAGGAAACATTCATTTTGAGAATGCAGAACGCTACAATTTCCTTTTTGCTTCACTGTCAAAGCCACTGATACGAAATAGTTATACACACGGTATAGTTCCAATCATCAGCTCCTTCACTTCAAAAGTGGAAACAAATTTTTCCTGTCCGTACATCGAATTTATAAGTGACCAGGAATTAGCTATTCATTTTCTTAAGACATTATCATCGGAAATTAGTTTGAATAGTAGCCGAAATTTAAATTTTATCTAATTAGAAGCATCACAATTTTACGACAGCGTTTTTTTCGCCAGGAAAATTTAGATTTGACGCAGCTAAAATTTTCATTTTCAGCAGTCAAAGAGCAAAAAAAACTTGTGCTTATTATTTGGTTCATTATTTTTCATTATTTTTCACAGAACGGACAAAACCAATCAGGTCAGTAATGCACCAGCCTAAAATTTTCAAACAAAGGTCTTTGTTTTTTTTGCAGCTGTCAACTGATTATTGCCTGCACAGTTTTTGTTTTACATGCAGCGCAATTGTTTAATTTTGTTCGTATTATTTCACAACACATCTGCACAAAGATATCGAGATTTCGTACAGAAGAAAACTATTTTTGAACATCTTCGATTCTATCTATCTTCTTTTACCATTGCTTTGAAAAACAACAATAAGGGTTTCGACCTACACGAGTTCAATCAATTATTTCAAGAACAAATGTTGACTTAATAAATCGCATGTTTCAACGAAGCAATCGACAGATAATTTCATCAAATTATTCATGACTTCTCTGGAATTTATTTTAAAAAAAACAAGTTTAAGTTTAAACATGATTTTCTTATTTTATTGCAAAACACGAAAGATAAAAGCAGTTTTGTCAAAACTTTGGTTTGATTGAGCAGACAGTCGACAACTGAAATTTGAAACCAGTACTTTTATCAGTATGTCAAAAGATTTCTATCTTTCAGATTTATGGTTTTTGCCACTTTATACAAGCTCAAAACTCTAACTCAGAAAACACCAGCAGGTCTTCTCAGTTCAACAATTTTTCAAAACAAATTTTTGCCAATGTTGATTGTAACAAAATTTTATCAAAACAGATTTTTGTCAAAGTTGATTGTAATTTACTCCAGTTTTTCGTCAGCCAGAAATGCTGCGGTGATGGCAAAATAAATCGGTGTTTGACATCGGGCCTAATAATTATTCAAATTTGTTATCTGGTGTTTTTGCGCTGATATAAAAAAGCCAAACTCAACATTTTCCTCAAGAACAAATTCGTGACCTCAAAAAAATTCAATTATCATGTTACAAAATTTAAAGCCTGAATTATAAACTTTATGGTTAGTTTTGTACGAAATGAAAAAAAAACTGAAAAAAATTGTTCCTGCTCAGTTGAAAGCCGAACCGCTGAAGTTTTTTCCCACTATATATTCATCTACCACTTAACATCAAACAGTACATATTTTGGCTGTCGCATCAACAAAATTCAAGCATCAAAACATCAATTGAAAAACTATAATAAAAATTTCAAAAATATATATAATTTTTTAAACTTCACTCTTAGATTATGTCAAGTACAAAGAGGTGCCCTCAGCGTCTAGAACATCCCTGAGTTTTTTGACTGCTTTTTCAGGTCTATGGAGACTTGTTCGCAAAGAAAAATGATGAAAAATATAAAAAGTTAAAATGAAAAATTGAGATTCATTTTAAATCATCCCTTGAACGCCATATCAAATACAAAGCGATAGTTTTGGCTCCTAGTAACGTATCAGTTTTGACAAATAAGCTACGTCAACCAAATTAGAGCGATTTCTGAAATTAGTTAGGTCTCCGCTCACGCGTTTAATAGCGCGAAATGTATAGCGCGTAAATTCTTCCAAATTGACCACTTTGACATTCTTTATAACCCCATAACTTCACAAAAATACGGAAAATGGCAACTTTCAAACCCTGATAACTTTTCATAAACTATGTCCTAAATAAAGTATTTGTACAAATTTGAGCCCACGTCAATATTATCAGATGGTATAGATTTCGTCCAAAAAACGCTATTTTTATTGCCTGGAGAAAAAACCACCGGAGCAGAAAATAACCAACCGAGCAAAAAAACTACCCGATTAAAAACAGAGACTCTTCAAAAGTCAAAATAACAATTCTTTTCTGAAAAATTAATTTTTAGAATTTATTTTACTCGAGAATTGACAACAGTTGTAGTTGGTAATGTTTCTTTATAATTCACTTAAAATGCGCAACGTGAAAAAAGTCAATCGATTCATTTGCAATGCGTTTCAATGAACTCTCTGCGGTATAAAAGCAAGGAAGAAGAGCAATTTTTATTTTACTACGAACCTGTTTGACCTCTTTTTGCTCAAGATGTAGTCACAAAAACACCAAAGTTGATATTTGGTTTTAGAAATTTGCGCGAAGAACAGAAAACCACATCGATCCCAAACTTACCGTACTTTTTTTGAAAAATAAAATTTATTGTTCCGACTTTCGTAAGGAAAGTAACGGAATATTTGTGCTCGGGGTGGGTTTTTTTTTCTTCAGACAAATTTCGACTTTTAAACTAGCCATTTTTGACAGAATTTTTTTACATCATTGGAAAGCTATTGTTGTCCTTAGCTTAAATTTGAAAAGATATTTTACCTGTTATCATTTTTCGTAAAGTTATGGGGGTTTAAAGATTGCCATTTTGGCTATTTTGGCCAATTTGGGACAATTAACGCGCGATATGTTTCGCGCAATTAGCGCGTAAGCGAGATTTAATCCGTCTTAGAAATCGTTCCAAATTGGTTCAAGGATGATTATATGCCATAATTGATTTGTTAATAGGAGCAAAATTTATCACTTTTTACTTAATATGGCGTGTGGGTGGATGTTTTCACAAAAAATCTCAAAATTTTAGAAAAAAAATTTTAATTCTATTTTATTAGATTTAAACTTTCCATGTTGTTACTGCTCCATAGGCCTTAAAAGGCAGTCGGCACATTCAGGGTTTTGCCGTCATACGAGCTATAATCCAATCTTGATTGTGGTTTTGAGTATCTGTTGTTGTTGTTGTGGCCTCGTCTCCTTCATCGGTATAGGGTTTCGTTTCGCTTTTGTTAATCCTTCATCTCTGGAGGAGATGAAAGTTTGTTATAATCCAATCTTGATTGTGGTTTTGAGTATCTGTTGTTGTTGTTGTGGCCTCGTCTCCTTCATCGGTATAGGGTTTCGTTTCGCTTTTGTTAATCCTTCATCTCTGGAGGAGATGAAAGTTTGTTTCATTGTTTCTTCCGTCGCTTCCATTATCATTGGCCACCGACGGGATATTTAGTGCATACCACATTTGTTGGTTAGTCGAACTTCGTTTTGACACTGGACGTCGTCTAGGGTCTCTCGTTTTGTTGTGCCGTTGTGAGGTCATTACCTCCGGTTTGCTAATTACTTCTGGAAGAAAGTTTAGCTCTACTGCTCCACCGTGCTATGTAAGCTGAAGTAATTCAGCTACCCGGAGGGTGTCAGTCCAGAAGTGGAGGCCATCTAGATCTGTCAGCCTGCCTCGACACTTAAATAGGTGACTAACATCATGAGGGCCCTGACTACAGATTTCACAGACATTAAGTAGGTTTTTGCCGTCATACGAGCAGTCTTGTTATAATTGCGCTAGAATGTTGACCACCAAATTTAATTATCAGCTTTTCCCAAATTATCAACAGTTTTGTAATTAATCACAGCAAGCGTTCGAGAAACCAGCTGATTCCAAAAACGTGCCGTCTGTTTTTAAAACTTAAAAATTTGATCAAGTTATCAAACATTTCGCTCACTTCCAGGGACAAATATATGGCGGGGACTCCCATTCAAGCATTTAAACCCTTCTGACCATTTTGGGCGACTGACTTTCCCCTAAAATTTTTCTAAAGGCGTCGTTGGTGGCGATATATAGCAATTTTGATGGGGAGCGCGAGCCGAGAAAAAACAATTTTGCTCAAAGTTTTTTTTTTCAATATATGGCCAAATCGTCGACAAAATCAATGGGGTCGAACTGAAAAAAGTTTAGAAAAATGTTTTAAGAACAGAAAAATAAATAATTGAGTAGCGTGCCGATGAGAAAAGGGCGGGAAGTAACGCCCCCTTCAAGTCTCCAGTTCTAGTTCCCAAGTGTTCCGGACAATCATGTTTGTCTGATCGGCAATAATTGTTCTCTAAAAGTCTTTTGATGGCAAAATGTAATAAATTTGAGGGGAGCTCGCCGGATAAACCTTGCAAAAATAACCTGAAAACATCTTCTTCGGCAAATTCTCTTTTGTCAAATTTGTCAAATGATCAAATAATTTTCGCCAAATCACGTCCTTACAAAATCAATTTGGTGCTTGACCTACAAAAAAATTGAAAAAAAAATCATAATTTTTTTTTGAAAAACCGCAAAATAACACCCCCTCCTCCTCGAAATCTTCCTGCGCCTTCCCTGATCTAAAGACTCCCTTCATTAATTTATGATGATTTTTGAGAGACAAAAACTGCAAACCAGAAACTATCAGATCACGTGATATATAAAGCTAGTGTCAAGATAAATACGTTGAAATCAAATCAAGCCAAAGTCGAGGGGGAATTCCTTGAGCTGTTTTTACCGCTTTTTATCGAGACGTCATATGATACATGATGATTTCATAGATGATTGTGTTTTTAATGAGAAATTTTTAATACCTGATTGTTTTTAAGGTTTATATATACAATCATGTTTGTCTGACCGACAATAATTGTTCTCTAATATGGCGTGAACAATTAAATGCGTGAACGCAGGGGTGGATTTGGGGGGGGGGGGGGGGGTTGCGGACGCCCCTCCTCTCAGGGATTCGACCCTTGCCGACGACCCATCCTTTGTACTATTTTGAGATATCCATTTTTGAACGCGGACCCTAAAATTTTTTGAAAACGCCTTGAGCGCCAATATATGCTAATTTTGAGGGGGGAGCGCGGGCCAAAAAAAAAATTTGGTCAACATTTTCTAAAAATGCCTAAAAAAGCCCTCTTTGCCCTGTTTTTTCAAAATTTTGTCTGCGGCGCTCTAAATTTAGCCAAAGGAGGGATTGTTTAGTGCTCTGGGAGAGCTCAGAAATTCATTTGGTCAACCTAAAAAGAAAGTTGACAAAATTTTTGCTATTTTTTCAAAATCCGCCCCCTTCTCGCGAGAAAATCCTAGATACAATCCGCCCCTGCATATATATATATATATATATATATATATATATATATATATACATATATATATTTATATATATATATATGCAGGGGCGGATCGGATCTAGGATTTTCTCGCGAGAAGGGGGCGGATTTTGAAAAAATAGCAAAAATTTTTTCAACTTTCTTTTTAGGTTGACCAAATGAATTTCTGAGCTCTCCCAGAGCACTAAACATTCCCTCCTTTGGCTAAATTTAGAGCGCCGCAG